GAGCGGTGAAAGGAGGGCCAGGCCGCTAATGAAGGTAGAATGCTCGAAACCGTAGAAAGTCGCGGGAGCGTGGTTCGTCGTCAGTTACCTGCTGGTTCAAATGGTCCAGATGATCAAATAATGCAGTTTTCACAACTGCAAGCGATTTACGTTATGTGATCAGCTTTGCAGACGTAATTTTGTGCATTGATCAGCTGAAAACTTACCATTTTTGCTTCGTTTCTTTACAACCATTATATTTACTTGAGATTAGTCGTTACGGTAAAAAAATAACAAGTTTTAAACATTAATGTAATAGGCTCTGTCATAATATTTATTCTACTGGACTTATTAGAAGTCTAATATTCCAAATGAAGTTCGTCGAAGATAGGCAAAGTGAGCAACGAACCATCCTATCAGCAGGGGCGGCAATTTTTCCACTTTCAAATTTTTCTCCTTCTTTTACTCTTTCTTCTGTCCCTCTTTCATTATCTTTCATCTGTCCAACCCATTGCAACCGCTTTGTCCTGAATCCGTTTTAAAGCAGTGTTTTTAGTGGTGGTGCCTTCCCTTAAATCATCGGTCATCCATATGATGTTTTACAGTTGCTATGAACATACAATTTATCTAGGGCTCTTCTCCAGTGTCCTTTTTGGCATGAAACATGTTTACTTTCATTCAAGGTTTATATTCTGTCAAACTTTGTGCACTGGATCGACAAAAAGTCATTCATCAGGTACAAGGTACGATACTTTACTATCTTGCAATCGACTCTAGTTATATTTACTCAGCCGGTTATGAACCTATGACAGGATTTAGCAGTTGCTGCAGCGACAAGGCCAGGGTTGCTCAGTCGGTAGAGCGTCGGACTTCGAACTGAGAAGTTCCAAATTCGAGGCCCGGTCAGTCCATTCACCTATCTTCCTATCGATGAATGAACACCACTCTGAGGGATGCAGGAAATTACAGACTGTGCTTGCCAGTTAAGTACTATCGACTCTGTCTTAAATGACATGGAAACAGAAACCAGACCCGATTATCAACTTCATGAACAGAATGACACCAAAACTTGCCTCATCATGAAAGTGTAAGGAACATGAACATTCTAAAGTTGATGAACTTTCCTTCCTCCTACTTTCAGCAACTTGTAAATGAACTCTGCCGCAGTTATTATTGAGATTCTGTCAATGTAGTGAATTGATGGACATCTATAAAACTGTGCAGTACCACCAAATTCCTTCACTTCGCAAAATCAAATTAAACTTAGGCGGCTTGTCCAACTATTATATTAGAACTATTTTTAACTCCAGATAAAGTATGAAAGGAAGATACCTTAAGCTTTATGAAATAAAAAAAAAGTCACTTGGCGCTCGTACCTTATCTTGTCCAGGGAAACGTTCTGAAAAAAATTTTCTACATAAATCCGGCTGATGACTGTGCCCATAGTGATCTGAACCACCCGTAAGCAAATCGTGCTGGCATTTACCTTTTTTCTAGCATGCACGAAATTGTGATAGTTCATAACAATAGATCGCATTTCATCGTCCATGAAATACAGCTTTGAGTACACAACTTGCCACATCACGAAATTAATTAAGGTACGAGCGGTAGTAGAATTCATTGCATGGATCAAAGCACTAACGTCCGTGAGGTAACGAGGTTTAACGACGACAAAGTGTTCAAGAATCATCGTCAC